GGCAAGCAAAATGTAAAAACGTTGTAAGAAAACCAACACCTATAGAAATAATTAAAGATGGTGTAATATTAATATCAGGAAGAAATATTGTAAACCAAACAAAATTAGAAGGTTCATTCCTTCATAAAAATTTTTTATAATAATTAATAATACAACTTGTGAGAATCCGACTGCTATAATTAATAGTTATCTAAAAAATAATAAAATACCAATATTCGATGTAATTGAAACATTTAATGAAACCACGAACTTTGAAAATATAAACTTCTTAGCTATAAGAGATGATCTAAATAGCAGCCGCAATAAAGTTTTAAGTATCATTATTGTATTTGTATTAATAATAACAGTATATGTATGTTTCAAATTAAGAAAATATATTAAATTACATTTAATTAAAAGAAAAGAAAATGTTAAAAGGACTGAAGAGAAATTAAAAGAACTCGCGTTATCAGAATTAAGAAAGAAATTTAATGAAATTAACGAATCTAATAATAGAGATCTGGGGGGGAACCTCTTAAGGCAGGGGGAGTTAGCGATCAGCATATCTGACCACACCCAAATGACTAATTCACAATTATTTAGAGATCGTAATACAAAACCAAAGAAGACCCCCCCTTATAAAAATATTCTCATAAAAATATTCCTATTAAATTCAATTTCTATGTTTATTTAAGAAATAATAACGTTTATGATTCGGAAATATGAGCTAACAAATATCATATTCAAAGAATGAAAATAAAATCAAAATATGTTTAGGATATTTAATTACCCTTTGTTCATATTATCCTTTGTTTAATAAGCAAACGCAAAAATCATAAATATATCAACAATTGAAGATCACAAATCAGTTTGCATTTAGATTTCAATAACCGCGTACGGTGAAGATTACTCTCCGGTCCTTAATTAGAAAGACGGCTCGAACCCTTAATATTAATTATAAGTTACAAGTGTAAATAGTGTTTAAGTCAAAATTAATAAAGTGTTAAAAAGTTTAATTAATAAAGTGATTTGCAAAAAAATAAAAATTAATTTTTTTAACACAACTCGGTCTCAAACTATAATTAGCATCCCTTAATCACGAGCAAGGACTTCACCTGTCTTTTCCATACATCGAATTTTTTTCTGCCCCTCAGTCTCTCCACAGGATACTTGAGCGCTTGACATCTTTAATTTTCAATTTTTTCCCACAGCAGAAAACAAAATTAACAGATTGGAAAAAATTTTTATTTTAAAACGTAACTAGAGGCCCATAACCTATTGAGTTTAATGTTTTATTGAGACTGAAGAAAAAATGTATATCATATGCAGTATCTAAGGATTGTTTGGCAACCCTGTCGTGATTGTTGATAAATTTCTGTCGTGCTCCTGTTTTGTATTTAGCTACTTTTTGAATTTTCTGTAGTTTTTTACAAATATTTGAATTAAACAAATTTTACAATGGTCTGTCCGTATGAATTGTGTAACATTTCTAAATAAGATGAATTGTGCGTTTCATGTTGGTTTTGTTTAAATCAGTGGCATGTTAAGTGTGCTCGTATCAACGCGAAAGTAGTTGATACTATTAGAGACAATGTTGGCGTTCGTTGGTGCTGTGTTCACTGTAGAAAACTTTCTGCCGATTTTTATAATTTTGTAAAAGACTTGGAATCGAAGCTTGTATCCATTAAAAAAGACTTTACATCATTAACAAGTCGTTTTGAAAATTTTTCGAATTTGTTTAATAAGTACCAGGAACTCGATGAATTTGTATCGTCGCCGTCCGTTTCTGGGCAGAAACGGAAGCGGTCTTCGAAGAATGCACCAACTAAAATGATGCCTATTCGTAAAGCCTCTGTTTCTGCTGGGAATACTGGATCACGAACAGCGTCAGATAAAATGGACAAAACTGATGCTGTTGATGATCAGACGTATGCCAGTGTCGCGTCTCATGCAACCATGGAAGCTAGCAAGGATGTATTGGAAGTGACAATACCTCATAACTATGAGCTATGAGCATTGATAACAGTAGTCTTGAGAAGACCGCCAAATCTACTCATAGTACACAGGTGTCGTCAGTTCCTTCATCTGGTGCGTCTTCTGAGATTGTAGCTGGCAAAGACCATTACCTACCTACCCAAAGACCATTATCAATGGTTTTTGTGTCTAGGTTTGCGCCTGATACCTCGGCTGAGGATATAAATTACTATATCAAATCAAAAATAAATGGTAATTATTTTCTAAGATGCTACAAGCTTCGATCGGCATACTCTGAAAGTATATCATTATTTAAAATATTAGTTCATGATGATATATTTCCAAGTTTGATATCGAAAGACTTATGGCCTGCTAGAGCGTTTGTTAAAGAATTTATAGAAAGATCAGATAATTTAGCTCATTTACCTCTGAGATCTGAACCAATATCAAAAAACTAGATAACCTATTTACCATTTGCTATCAGAATGTAAGGGGGTTAAACACTAAATTAACTCGTTTATTAACTGATAGCATTGGTTTTGAATTTAGCATTATTGTGTTTACTGAGACTTGGCTCAAAACGTCTGTGTTAAATAGTGAAATTATGTCTTCAAAATATCAAATATTTAGAAAAGATCGTACAGGTAAAAAAGGTGGGGGTGTCCTTATTACAGTTGATGCCAAATTTTCCACTAATTTAATTAAATTAAATTGTTTTTCTGACATATAATTTATCTGTATATCAATTGATTTGCGTACATTTAAATTATTAAATTATTAAATTAATTAGTTACGTGCTCATATATACCTCCCTCATCACATCTTGATATTTATAATCAGCATTTAGCAGCACTAAACTCAATATTATGAATGATTCTGATAGAATTTTAGTTCTTAGTGATTTTAATATGCCATCTGTAAAGTGGCTCTCATTGCCAGACTCAGAAAGTTTAACGCCGTTGACGTCTGAAGAAATGTAAACCAATATACATTTGATATTGTTAATCGATTTTGTGAAATTAACCTTGAACTCTTTGTTGGAGAAGTCTTTCCATGTTTGCTCGGGTGTTCAATAGTTTGCCACAGGTTCTCAAAATATTCAGTGTTTCGTTAAAATGTTACAAGAAAAAGTTACTTCAATATGCAGATGTTCCTCGATTTTAATGTATATATTTTGTTAAATATTTATAGAAATTATTTTTTTGGCAGATGGCTGTACTGATAGATTTCTGGTAAAGTATCGATCAAACAATTTCAGACTATGCTCTTTGGAATGGTAACATTTCGCAGTTTTTTGTTTGGTGCATTCAGTTGTGAGTTGCAGGGTGTTAAAAATGGAAGTGAACAAAGATAACATTCAGTATATTTTACAGTTTTTCTTTGACAAAGGCAAAAATGCAAGCCAAGCGGCTAAAATTATGAATGGTGATTATGGTTCCGATACTGTAACAGCCAAATATGTGCAACAAAGAGGCACCACTCACGGGTAGGCCGGTCGTCAAAAATGTCGATAAAATCGGAGAAATGGTCAAAGTTGACGGGCATGTTAGCAGCCGTAACATCGCCCAGGAGCTAAAAATCTACCATAAACTAGTTTTAAATCATTTACAATTGGCCAGAATTGGCCAACAGGAGAGGTGTCGTCTTCTACCAGGACAACGCTAGACCACACATCAACAGTGACTCGCCAGAAACTTCGAAAGCTTGGTTGCGAAGTTTTAATGCATGGGATTATCATATTTTTCTTGCATTGCAAAATTTCTTTAATGATAAAAAAATTGGTATATAGGGAGGATTGTGAAAATCGACTACCAGAGTTTTTTACAAATAGAGAACAGGATTTCTATGAGAGAGGCACTATGAAGTTATCTTTAAAATGACATCAAATCATAAAACAATACGGTGCATATTTGGCCCAAATGGGACATTCCGAAGCATGTTAAATAAAGTCATATAGTTCATATACAAATAATGGATTTGTTGGGCATGCCTGTTTTGATAAAAATCGGTCAATATGGACCCTGACTTTTGTGTGAAAAGTTACAACATTTGTATTCTATGGCATATATATATATTTTGTGTTGAAGTCCGAAAACTGTATGTTCAAGCATGCAGAATGCAGAATGAGTATAATGGTATAATGGATAGATAGAACAGCGAATCCTAATTACCCTAAAAAAACATTATGTTACCAGATTTGTATTTTTTAAGAATATCGAAAGTCGATCTTGGAAAGCCATCTTTGCTACTTTCAGATGTTCCTCGATTTTAATGTATATATTTTGTTAAATATTTATAGAAATTATTTTTTTGGCAGATGGCTGTACTGATAGATTTCTGGTAAAGTATCCCAAGAAGTTGATAATATATCCAAGAGGAGTGATTGACCTTCAAATTGATACCAATATTGTCGTATGTATTCGGATGTGGAAGTTACACTTAAATATTTACAGGTGCTTACGTATTCATATGTTATTTAGTACCCCATTAGCATTGAAATTTTCCATGATGTTCCAGTTATGCTCAAGGACATGACTATAATTTTCGGTGATGATCAGATAAAAATTTTGTGTTGAAGTGGACCGAAAACTTTAGACAGTATGTTAGAATTCCCCTAAACACGGAATACCAACTCCAATACATAGTCAAAACTGTAAAGCATGCAGAATTGAGTATAATGGTATAATGGATAGATAGAACAGCGAATCCTAATTACCCTAAAAAAACATTATGTTACCATATGCCAGTTAGGAAACATATACCAGCAAACTCGCAAATGACTGATTTGTATTTTTTAAGAATATCGAAAGTCGATCTTGGAAAGCCATCTTTGCTACTTTCTCAAAGATCAGCCCCTGTATTCTGTAACTTTTTAACAACATTCGATACTGTCTATTTTACAACAATTTCATTTGTTTGTTTTATTGTTTTTACAATAAAAAACCGAATGTTGTTAAAAGTTACAGAATAGGCCTACAGAAGTCTACTTCGATTTTAAGACTTTTCAATACAAAATGCCGATTAGTCGAAAGTCGATTTACTTATTCCTAGTAAAGATTACGCTGGTTTCCTGCCGCCTCCTTTTGTAGTAAAGCTGGGAAAACGTTATCTGGCCTAGCTGCATTGAATTGAGAAAATCTCTTCAATGCATCGCGCACCATTTGTCGAGCACCGTTACTTCATCGGTGGGAAGTTTACTTGCACAGGGAATATCAAATTATGAAACAGTGGTTATTTTTTATACCTTGTCGGAAAACACACAAAAGTGGTCTGTTCCAGTACGTTTTTAATGGTTAATCTAGTAAAAGGAAAACATTTCAATATTGCTCTCAGAGTACAAAATAATTTGAAAAGTTCGGGAAGGCAAATCGAGTTAATATTCCAAAATTAGATGGCAATACTTGAAAATCAACATAGGCATTCCTGTTTACCATTTTTACTCGACCAAATTTCTCGAGTAAAAAGTTTACAAAGAGAACGCCATTTTGTTACCAGTTTTGTGGGTTGAGGAACGGGTTTCGAGTAAAAAGTAAAATGAGTAGATTCTTTTAGGTTCTGGAACGGAACTGAGGACTATTGTTTTTAATGCAATATATATATATATATATTCATATATATATATATGATTTGAAAATGTTGAAATTCGCTCCCAAATCTAAAAAATCAAAATTTACATTAGTGTCGAAATATATTTTATGTCATATTTTATGATTCGGATGCATTCCGAAGTTCATGTAACTTCATATTTATAGAAGCGATAACCCAAAATAATTGGACTGACTGACACCTTGCACTTTTTCCCATAACTTTCGACTGTATCCGAAAGGATTGACGCGTCATGCCAAAGCCACACTATGGGATTTAGTTCAAGAAGCAAGGGGGCGAGATAAAAGAACAGCGATGTAAAAACCTTTGCAACTACATCCATGTCATTGCAATGATTTTAAATAAGCCAAGTTATACGTGCGTCAAACTTTTGCTTTTATCCAACATTTTTGTGTTATTTTCGTTTTAAATTACTATTTTCTTTTATTGTTACTTTTTTGATGGAAACAAATATTTTTTTCGGAAAATAATACAAAGAAATACAGCTTTTTATTTGCGCCATTAAATTAAGTTAAAACCCAACTGCACTACAATTTTAATGAATACTACACTTACCTGTGTACCGTCTCGTTCATATGTGGTGAAAATAATAGTCCATTCGTTCTATGATCAGCAGAATTGTTTGTAATTATGTTTCGACAAAATAAAGTTAAATTTGCAGCAATTTCCAAGAAATATTTTATATGAAGTGATTGATTTTCATCAGATTGGTCATATAAAGCGTTTTCGGGTTTAAGCATTTCTTTGAAGTTTTCATCACTTACTATAAAACGCAAATATATGGATAACATTAGTTTTTGAACTCGATATAAATTAATGCCAATATCTCCGGTTGCATCCATATTAATCAATGACAAGGTTTCCTAAAATTACAAGAGATAATTTGTTATTCATATTTGGTTTAAATAAAGCAGAACTCACCTGATTAAATGTTCGAGCAATTACTCCAGTAATAAGAGATAATTCTTCTAACAATCCGAGATCCGAAAAAGGAGAACTAGATCTAAGTATTATTTCGATCATGTCCCAATGAGAGAATAAGAAATGCATTACTTGTGATATGACGGAATAGTTTTCAGTGCCTAATGTCGACACCAAACAATCACATAAATTTAAGGCTGGAAATAGGATTTGTCGGAAGCGGTAATCAAATGCGGGAACAAAATCTCTTGTTTGGTTTTGTTGCCACAACTCCTTTCTTTTTAAATCAGGGTGCATGTCAAATACTTTCATTCCTGATAAGATCTCTAAAATTTTATTAGAGAGTAAAAGTTCTGCGCCAATATGGGTATTTGCAAATCGTATCAGCATTGACATCTTTGATTCATACACATAAAGGTATTTCATGTTTTCAGGAACATTTGCCAAGGTGCTGCAGAGTTGATTGTCACTTTTCGCAATGCTCTCTATGATGTGGGATAAATATCCATGGTGTGCTACAAAGTTCATTAAGTGAGACATTGAATCTATGTCTAGTAGAACATCAATGCAAGCTAGGGCTGTCATTTTACATATATCGTGACCAGCAATACAATCGTGACAAATTGTCTCCATCAATTTTTCACCAAACGATAAAAGCACTTCCAAAGACATTCTTATATGTGTAACGTCTGAATATTCAACACCGTTGACTTTAGATTTATCCAATCGTGTAACCATGCTAAAGGAAATGACAGAGATTTGTTCATATTAGGTTTTTGGTCGATTAAAGTGTAATTACTGTTATATGTACATAAATAAATTAAATTAAACACGTATTAAAAATTTGCGATTAAAAACTCAAATTTAAGCCAAAAATACAAACATGTTGCCATAAAGATTAACTTATCTGCTTATTTTTGTAAAAACAAAATTCTCTTATTTTTATTTTTTTCTTTAGCAAAGTAAATAATTTAATTGATTTTTTATTAGTTTTCAGTGGTTTTTCGCAATTGCTGATGATCTGCAGCTAGTATTTAAAGGTAATAGTTGTTTTGCTGCAGTGTTGCAGTCGCAAATAGATTTAGTTGTGGAGTTGTTGTATGATTTGGTACACGGTAAAAATATTCGGGATAATCAATTAAAAAGCAAAGCTTTATTATTTTTTAAGTTCAGTGATGTAAGTGTTCATGTTAAATGTGCTGATGCTATTATTGAGTATGTCTTGGTATTATTTTAAATAACAAACTTTATTTTAGGCATTATATAAATCGGGTAGTGTCAAGAGTTAATTGATATATAAGATCCTTTTTTGAAACTTTTTTTATATTTTTTGTAAAAAAAAAACAACTATTAGTAAGGACTCTTGTTCTTCCTTCGATTCTTCATTGCTTTGAGATCTACTCAGGTACGACCATATTTCGCCCCATGTGCACAAATTGGCTGTACATTTCAGACATTTTCAAATTGTAAAAATATTTAGTTTTCCATACATAACATACTCTAACAGGCTTCTTCAGCATTTGGATGTTTTTTTACTTAATTATATTTTTGTATTGATGAGGCGCTAAGTCCAATTCATCAGATGTCGCTGACTTAGCATCATGTAAATCCACATTTTATTTTGAGAATTTTGGATATGATTTTCACCGCCCATAAAACGTTATTCGAACGAATTTAGGACTCTGTGTAGAAAATGTACCATCCAATAAGAATCAATATTGGCCCAAGCTTTGGAGTAGCTCCCATATAACTTTCCCTCATTATTCGGTATTTTGGGACTCTTAGGTACGTTTTTCAGTCGAATTGGTTCTAATTTGATATTTTGGATTCTAATTGGGCGTCGAATCTTCCTACAAAAAATTATCGATATCTGTTCGGATTTGGTATAGGCCACACAAATTTGAGGATTTCGTACAAGTTCCTAGCCCAAATTTCCAATAGCCTCCATATGGGCCAGGAATCCAATTTTTTGACAAAAAGACCATTTTAGGTAGAGCCAATAAAACGTAATATATTTCAAATCTGCAGACTTTGAGCTTTGCACCAGTAGAATTTTATAACATTGTGGGTCCCGGTTTACAAATAACATTTGGTCAAAGTCAAGATTTCATATTCCTGTGAATATAACTTATAAATGTTATGTAACATTGACAAGCGTCAAAATATTAACATGAAATGAAGGTCAATTACACAGATGGAACTGCTGATTATAATGAAAGTGACAATTATTAGATAATTGAAGATGATCAATAAAAACTCCGAATCTAGTGCCAGAGGATATTTTAATGGTTATATCACCTATCGACGCCCTTATAATGATAATGATGATAAAAATGGAAGATATCGTCTTGCGTAGACCATAATTTTTTTTGAGTTAGCCCCCATATAACGGTAACCTCCTAATGTTGGTTTTTTGGAGATGTGGTTGGCGTATTTCAACCAAATTGGATGAAATTTAGTATTTTGATTTCGCATTGGGTTTACAATTTTCGTACTAAAAACTATCAATAGTAACATAGGTTTCGGATTTGGTAATAATTTGGTAATAACTTAGGTTTCGGACCCCAATCATTTTGTCGTTTGGGGATTTTGAGTGTCATTTTCAATGAAATTGGCTATAATAACAATTTATTTAAGGTTTGCCATATTTTTAAGACCATAATAAATAAAAATACGATTTCATGCTGTTTTGATTTTAAATATTGCAAAGATATGAAATATTTAGGTTTATCTTATTTTTAATGCGCCATTTTGGATTCATTTTAATTGATTTTTCATAGCATAACACGCATATAAAAGTCCAGATCGATTTTATGTATTTTACTATGCACCTCATGGAAGAGGGTATAAAAAATTGACCTGCCGAACTTAACGACGATTTCACTTCTTTTTATTCATATTTTTAAAAAAATAAGCCGACCCGGCAAACGTTGTTTTGCCTTATCAATATTGCATCAATATAAGGTTGGTAAAAAAAAAATGTCACTAAGTTTATGTCAATAAAAAGTATTAACTGGTACCCCAATGCCGGCCCAAGCACATAACATTTTATAATTTGGTAGAACGCATTTCACCAAATGTTTTTTTTTTTTCAATAGAAGATCACGATTTGTTATTGCTTCATTTTTAAAAAAATGGTTAATTAGTTTTCAGATTGCCGTTATAGATTTGTATATGTTTGCTATATATTATATATATAGTTTTTGACAGTTAAGGGGGAAAGTTTTGCCAATGTTGACGCCGTATACCTTCATTTAATTCAAAATGCCTGTTTTATATCTTAACTCTAAATCGTGAAATGTTGTAATCGGATGTTGTGAAAAACTCGTTGTTTATGTTTTTCTTTTTGTTTATTTTTATTTTCCAATATTTCGACTGTCTTCGGCAGTCATCTTCAGGGAAATACTACAAAACATACAAATATTTTAAAGATATAGACTTAATTGTATTGCACAGATCTTACTTTTATGAGAAAAGCAACCGATTTTCATCACCGTCTATGCTAAACTAAGTTTTTCTTTTTTCTCGTCTGTGCTTATGAACTATGTTTCTATAAACTTAGTTTAGCATAGTTTAGCATAGACGGTGATGAAAATCGGTTGCTTTTCTCATAAAAGTAAGATCTGTGCAATACAATTAAGTCTATATCTTTAAAATATTTGTATGTTTTGTAGTATTTCCCTGAAGATGACTGCCGAAGACAGTCGAAATATTGGAAAATAAAAATAAACAAAAAGAAAAACATAAACAACGAGTTTTTCAATTGACCTAGAGCCAAAACAAAAATCCACAAGAATTAACATATCACAGGTCAACAATAACAACAACAACAATTGTAAATATTACTTAATATATATGTTTTGGCGGGATCTCACAATTACTTTGCATATTTTCCTATTCTGACCCCATACGATTTATAAGTCCTTTGAATCTTCAAAATCGGTGTAGACGTTCTTGAGTTATAAAAGATGTTGCTAACACAACGTTCGATTATTCCAACTCCCCGGCTTTTTGATGTTTTTCTCAACATTTTCTTCGTAAAAACCTTTTCAATGCAATTACAAACAACCGAATGAGAACGTGAGTGAAATCGGTACAGTCAATATACCATGCAAACATTATTCACATCTTAAAAAAAAACATTTGAGGAACCATAAAGGCAGATATAAGTTAGACACAAACAGCGTGTAATGCGGAATTGCCTCCATGTAGGATTCGAATTTAAAAGTATTCTTCCCGAATATAAATGTTCAATAATACCTTCGTATTTTGTTGACGTATTTGTAATCGTATATAGCGAATTACTAACACCATTGAACTTTATTGAATACTTTGATAGATGTTTTTGTTTTTAATTTAATTGCCTTTAATTCGGAATTCCCCATAGGGTAAGAAACTTTCCTCAATGTATAGTTTTTGGTATATGCTCCACATAATGGAACCGCTTAGTCTTAGTTTTAGTCTTGGTCTTAGTCTTTACTCTACCATGTCTTACAACCTAGACATACCATGCAAATTGCTTCACGTAACATAACTTATATTTTCAAACTAAATAAATCTTGATTTTATGCAAAATGTGAGCATAATGATAACGATTAATTTTACTCCCTCTTTTCGATTTCTTATTATTAAATTTAACTCTAATGAAAATATAAATTTACTTTCATATACAATAGTTTTTTATGGCAATGACAATCCAATTAATTTTAGAAAATTAATATATTTTGAGAATTTTCCATAATTGACAGTTTCTTAAAGATATACGCTGCCCATTTTTGCCCAAAATATGTCAAAAAAGAAAAACGAAGAGGTTAAACCATAAATGTTCGATATAAATACTATGATGGTACTAAAAATATTAAATGGTAATATACCTTCGGATTTCCAAATTTCTTCTATTAGAATAAATGTTCCTGTCCGATCTAGTAGACACTATCAACTATTATATGTAGACTTCCACCGCACGAATTACTCTATGGGAGATCCTCTTAGTAAAATGTGTATTGACTTTAACTCTGTATACTCTAATGTAGATTTTTGCTTGAGCGTAGAACAAATAAAATCTAATATTATTGTATTTTTAAATGAGTAGTAAAGCTTAATAACAAACTGGCTGTTGAAGTAGATTCTGTAGCTGGTTTTTCTATTCCACTCTCAAATCCCATCATGATTCGGATCATGGTGTGTACGCGATCCCTACGTAAGGGGATTTCGCCCCCTCGGTCGGCAGGGGTGGGAATGAGAGGCGTGGGAACGTCGAAAAAAAAGAAATATGTGGAAATGCTAATATCTTTCATTTGCAACATTTTCGAGAATTTTTCTCAAAATATTCTTTTGTTAAAATCTTTCCACTTCAATTACGGACTACTAACAGAAACTTTAAGTCAAATCGGTCCAGCCGTTTCTTTAAAATCATTTTTGCTAGATTTTCGCGGATTTTTCTCAAAATGTTCTTTCATAAAAAACCTTCCCACTGCACTATAGGTAATTTGGCCTGTATTTGAGACAAAAATTAATAACAGCGGTGTTAAATGATTCTTTGAATTTTTAAATGATTTATATGTGCAAGTAGAATCCGTATATAACGAACAACGGTTATAAGCAACTACACATATAACGAACAAAGCTAATTCTTTCTCAGATATTTTCAACAAACTGTTGAAAACAATTAGGATAGTTAGTTCAACAAATTTCGACCCCGCGGTTCGATTTTTAAAGGAATAATTATTATTATATTAA